GTTGAGCGATCGAAAGGTCTCGGCCAAGATGGCCGGTGCTGGGTTAACTTAGAAAGTTGCTCAAATAGTTCCACCACGGCAACGTCAATGCACCCCAAAGCTTTCGGAAAGATAATCAAACCGTACAGACCCAGTGCAAAAAGGTCTATGGTCTTCCACTCATCAGGGTGGTTTTTCATTAGTTGTTTTATGTGGATCCATTCAATTCCTTCTCCACTGCCTCTACGCTGAGTCCGATCGATTACCCATTTCTCATCTACTCCTGCAACTTTGGCCAGTGCATTCTTGAAGGGCTGGCTTGATGTGTTTAATGTAGGCTCGCTCAAGCTTGCTTTCACAATGCAGCAGTGTGGTGTATTCTTCGATGGTAGGCACCATGTCCTCTTGGTTAAAAGTGAAGCAACTATCCCGGGTTCCAGAATTGAATTAATGCTCGAGTAAGGGCTCATCAGTCTTGACATGGAGCAAGAGGGCGATATCACCATATCGTTGGCTGAACTTCTGCTTTCTGTCATTCTTCCAACTGTCCCAAATGTTTCGCAGCTCCTGGACATTATTCTGTTCAGGCTGACAGCGGCATAACTAACCAGTTCTGACACATAGTTTCCCTGAAGACTGTCTCCCTTCTCTTTCTGAGACTTCTCGGACCATAGTGTGCCTCAGCGTTTTCAATCTCTTGTATTACAACACCTTTGTCCATTAACTCGAATTATTTTGTGTATAACAAACGTTTTTTAGGGATCAATAGCCTCTTGTACGATGCAAATGCTAGAAAAACAAACACAAAGGCAAAAACGTTAGTAAAATAGAAATAGATAAAATAAATAAAATAAATGGTAAATGAAAAAAACATAAAAAAAAGGTTAGGAAAGAAATGTCCTAGGTTTTGGAATGGGGTTTTGGGTAGGCTCTATTTATTCAAAGCCTCCCTGTTTGGGTTCTAAAAACGGTACTCGAGTTCTCCTTGCTGGCGCCCCCTTGGACCGACCAGACCCTTAGTCCGAAACCCATCACAGGCTTGTGTGGACTAAGTTAAACTCGAGAGGACACATTCCCTTATGCCCATACGAGAATAAATTCACACGAAGCATAAGGTATATGAATCCCGAAGGCTACTGCTAGGCCCATACGGTGAATAAATTCACACGAAGGCGTCGCTTTCACCCCCACTTAAAACGGTTCGGAGGTTTAGAGCCTTAGATGAAAAATGTTTAGAAAGCTGAAATCATGAGAAAACGATTAGTACAACTATTTACTCGAAAAATATAATCAAAAGTAAGCAATAAGGATCGAAATTTTACCTTAAAATTTAAACTTACCCTTTTCGTTAAAAAGACAACTGGAAATTACCTTAGCCTGACCCACTTACCTGTGTCCCCAGCGGAGTCGCCAAGCTGTCGTAACCGTCTTTCGGTTGGGCCCCGGAATTGGGCTTCGACTTAAAAAATATGGATTGGAGTCGCCACCGATTATTTATTTAAAATAAATAGGTTAATCGGATACCTTATACCTTACCTGATCTGCGTCTTACCAAAGATATGTCGGATTCGGGAGTCGGTTACAGCTAAGGAAGGATTAGCACCCTTGAACTGCCCTTTCGGTACTATATAATTTCCAGTTGTCTTTAATTAAGAAAGTTTTAAATTTAAATTAAAATGTAAAATGACGATCCAAATTACTTACCTTAGATTGCTTAAATTGTACCCTTAGAAAATCAAGACACATTAGATAAAGAATGCAAATAAAACACCTAAGGTAAAATGGAAAACAATAAGATGAGGAAAATACAGAGTATAAAATAATGTATATGGTGGTATAATGATAAAGATATAAACAATGGGAAAAAAAAAGATATATAATAGTAATAAAAAATAAAACTACAAACTAAAATAAATCACCATAATCAAATATGTACATGTAAATAATAATAAAAAAATAATGAAAATAAAATAAGAAAATATATATATATATAACAATAATAGAAAAAAAAAAAAATTGTAACATAATAGCGTAAAGTAAAACACATAAAGTTAATACAAACATATAATAACATTAATACCATTTATATAATAGCTAATATAAGAGAGGAAAAAATATAATAATAATAGAAAAAAATAAATAATGTAAATAAATATAATATAAAGAAGTAAAAAATAGGGTAAAATACAAAATGTGTACATATATACATATATATATAATATAACACATAAATGAAATAATACTATACTAATAATAAATGTATACGAATGTATAAAAAACTAATAATAGTATAAAATATATATAAATATTATAATGTAATATAAAAGATAATTAAAACTAATGTAAATAAATATAATAATAAAGAAGTAAACAAATAGGGTAAATACAAAATGTGTATATATACATATATATATATAATTAAACATATAAGTGAAATAATACTATTCTAATAATACATATATACGAGTGTATAAAAAAAAACTAATAAGGATATAAAATATATACAAATATTATAATGTAATATAGAAAGATAATTAAAATTAAAATCCAGAGAAAGGATTAAAATGAAAGAACTGCAGGCTAGAGGTCAAAATTCCAAAGCAATATGAAGGGTTAATTTCGATTTGAGGGGGGGAAACGGCTCTTTTCGAGGTAACAGGGATCAAAGGGTAGTTTACCCTATTTTAGATAGAAACACGCGGATGGTTTAAATTCAGTTTGGGGATGAAAATGGAAGGATTTAAAATAAAAGGACTAAAACTGAGATTGCTCCCATTTTGCGTGAAAGCACGTGGATCCGGTCATGGTCCACGTGGGTCGAATGGGCTTAATATATGACTCAAAAAAAAAACCAATTTCAGTTTCATTCCTTCCTTCAGAAATCAAAAGTTTACCCTATTTTAGATAGAAACACGCGGATGGTTTTAAATTCTTTGGGGATGAAAATGGAAGGATTTAAAATAAAAGGACTAAAACTGAGATTGCTCCCATTTTGCGTGAAAGCACGTGGATCCGGTCATGGTCCACGTGGGTCGAATGGGCTTAAATATGACTCAAAAAAAAACCAATTTCAGTTTCATTCCTTCCTTCAGAAATCAAAAAAAAAAACCCTTGTCTCCTTCTCTCTTTCTATATCGCCATTGTTCTTCAGCCATGAAGAACATGGGCCAAGTTTTCCAGAATCCGGCCTTTGGCCTCCGAGCGCCGCCTCGCCGCCGCCGTTGGACGGCGACGGCCGCCGTTCATCGGCGGCAAAAAAAAAACTTATTTTTACAGTTCGAAAGCCCCTTATCCACTTCTCAAAAATAAAAAAAAAATCCAACAAATGACGAGCCTCAGGGAGTAGATCTAGCTTCAAAGTTTTGAAACTCTCTCCCTCGTTCATCGGCTGAAAACGTTTTTTCTTTTTTCTTGGTCGTCTTTCGAATCAAAACACAGTACAAGTCTAGAAATCAACATGCAAAGGCACAAAACGGATGGACAAAGGTAAAAACACTGCTACCTTTTTATTTCCTTTCGAACGATTACAAGAACTCTGGTTTGCTTCGTGGATTTTGAGTTTTTTTTGTCTAAGGCTCTCTGGTATTATCTTCTGGAAAAAAAAAATCCTTCTCAAAAAATACAAATGTTTCTTGCTATTTTCTCTGAGATTTTCGTGTGATTCCTTTTTTGCTTTTTTTCCCCCCCCTGTAATGCCTACATCGTCTGATATTTATACACAAAAAAATGACATCTTTGTGTCCTAATCAAACTCTACTACTTTTGTTTGTTGGTGATGGAATCCTACTAAAACACGTTCATTGGTGTTGTTGATGTTGGCTCCGTGAAATGAGGGAGGCGTTATCTTAGGCGAAGGAAGCTTGCGGCGCTGGCTTGGACGAGGTGGGGTTAGGGTTTCTGGCAACCCTGAGTCTGCACGGGTTAAGCTTGGAAGCTGTTGCTGGGCCGCCCACGTGAATTTGGGTCTGCCAAACGGACTGCTGGGATGTTGATGTATTGAGCCTGTAAATGTCAAAATATATATATTCAGTAATAAATAATAATATTACATATATAATATATATAATATGTATATATGTATGTTCCGGTCAAAAAAGTGTGTCTACACCTAGTGATACCTTGTGAACCTTCTAGAAAACATTTGGAAACAAACATCGTTAATGTAAATGTTTCACTAGATACTCGGTTGGATCTTGGAAGTAAGATCATGGCTGGAGTTGACGAGCTTTACACCGATGGATTGTTCGCAAGTGATGCTGCAACACTACTGTGACAGCTGCATGCTCTGCATCAATGACCACCCTACGAATAATGATATTTGGAGCTGAAACTATATCATCCGTCACAGGCCTGCCACCTCAGAATCTGATCTTAGAAGAATAATAGTACCTGAAGTTAGTAGTTCCTCAATGGCCATCAACAGCAACAGTGTGTCTGATGCCAGATATGCCGTTCCACCAGCACAGTCTTAGTTGTCTAGTTCCGCCGGAACAGAACGAGTCAGAGTCTGCAAAGACGATTACCATATATTATTGGATAGAATAGTGGGGTCTTAAAGGCAAATTTACTTTAATGTAGGCACTCATCGTCTCTAATTCGGATTTTTTGTATGGACTCTTTGCAATCTTACCTTTACTTTATTCACTTCACTTCTAGAGCATGTTGTCGAACATTTTCTTTGAAGTTTGTATGGATCTCTCTCAATGGATTATCATGGTCATAAATTTAGAGTTAATAAATTTCATTAATGTTGAAGCTGTTTTTAGATTTAAAAATATTAAAAAAATCGTCTCTTTTGATAAGATGAGATAAAATACCCATAAAATAACCTATTTGAAAACTATTTAAGAGGCCTGTTTTTGAAACTAGAGTGAGTTATGATCGTGTAATAGAAAAAGGTGAATCCCAGTTTGGATTAATATATAAAAAATATAAAACCTCTAACGAGTTGTTATGAGTTAATTGCGCATCAACTCATTTAAAAATCTGCAAGCAAATCAAATTTTTAAAAGTTGTCTCAAAAAGAAAACCATACGATAAAATCTGAACACCAAGAAAGTACAAAATTTTGTGATAAAAGGAAGGTTTAAACAGTGTATGCATGCTATTAGCAAGGAGAATAACACAGCCTGAAATTATAGCCCTCCATAGTGAAACAAGGACATATCAAGCAGAACACATGTTCCTCATATTATTAAATAGAACAGCAGCCATGAGAGATTCAGCTTAGCTATATCCGACTTGTTGCTGCTGTTGCTGCTGCTGCTGAGGCTGCTGATAATTTCCGTAGCCGGGATATCTTCCATAGTACATGTTCGGGTCTTGGTGTGCAGCAGCATAACCATAACCGTATCCTTGACCATATCCATAATATCCACCGTTCCACTGGTTTGGATCTGGTTGAGCCTGCAATGCAATAATGCCAAAGGTTTCCACAGGTCTGTGAAAATACCAAGAAAAAGCAATTTGCCATCAAATTATCTAATCAACCTGTTTGTCTGAGGTGCTACGGCCCCATGAAAGCCGAATACTTTGTCCACCCAACTGACTCCCGTTCAATATTCGCAGTGCTTCTTCGGCACAGCTCCTGATGCGTTGCACAAGTACAAAACAGAAAAATAACATGAATTATCTCCCACCAAATAGAACTATACAGAAATACTGAGCAGTGTATCTTTACCTATCAGCATACTGAACAAATCCACATCGCTTGTTTTGTGGAATCTTCACATGCACCAACTGACCATACGGGCTAAAAACCTCTCTCAAATGATCTTCCGTCACATCAGAATCCAAATTGCCAACAAATATCTGCATGGAAACACGTGATCAGGAAAAAAACAAGAAACCATGTTTGTCACTGAAAGTAACAAAGTACCCACAGTTGTATTATTTGGATCATTCTCGTTCTGATTCCCTTGAGATGAAGCTGCTGCATACAAAAAATAAATGCGTAACAAATGGACAACATAAAGGGAAAATAATTTCCAAGATGAAACAACGAGAATACACAACAGTGCATAGACAGGACTCTTTCTAGAATCTTGTACTTCACACCTCTAGGGGCAGACACTTCAATGTTAAGGAGGAAAAAGAAATATAACCTGAAAAATGTTTACCCTGTTTGAATAATATGTTAAAGACCAAGGTCCCTCACTTGGCATAAACATGATTGTAGAAGCACATAAATAGTAACTGTTGCATATACAACAATAAACACAAAAAATAATGCACAATACCACTACAAATGTAAGATCAAAAACTCCCATTAGAGTAGAACCTATGGGGTAAAGGGAAAACCAGGGCAAAAAAATGCTAGAACACACAAATAAAAGAAAATGAAGACTGTCATTCATGTTGCTTTTTTCAGAGCCACAGCACACAGTGAGATCTCAGTGACTGAGACCGTAAAGGACTTGTGACCTAAAACTCTAGAACAGTAACAAGAAATATACACCAGGAGCAGCAGGACTAAACAATAAGATCACTCTAAAATGTAAAGGGACAAGGAAGCACATTACATATGTAAAACAGAAGTAAAGACTCCATGGTAAACTGAAATGTAACTCGACTGACACCTCTTACTAACCAGAGAAGCAAAAGTTGACTGACAGAGCTCAGCCAGAACTGAAATGAACTTCTAAATGTATTGACTGACGTAAACACAAAACTGACCTAAGTGAGGGCTCGGACTATAGAGGTAACCATTTCAGCTGAAATCAGTACCAGGCCCCATGATGATATAGACTCATGATGCCCTGCTCTGAGACAACAGGAGTTTATAAGTTGTTGCATGTTTCAAATTTTCAACAGAATTATGGTGCCCAAATGTTAAAGGAAAGTACAGGAAGGAAAATGTAGTGGAAACTGCTGCTCAACTTCTAGAGAATAACTGAAACAAAGAACTTAAAACAATGTTAAGCACTTCAGAACAAATTATAATTGGAAATATGCCCAAATAACCTTATCCTTAAAGCAGATAAATCATAAATGCAACTATCAAATTTAACTGACACAAAAGAAAAACAGACACAAAAGAGTACAAGAAGATTAGATGTAGTCAAATTTAAACATGCAGGTAAGATGAATAAAAGTATCCCAAATGCCTTGGATAGAACAAAAAACCATCAGCAAACATACCAGCTGGATATTGCTGTGCAGCGCCAATCTTCTTGTTAGTAGCTGGCCCTATGCGCATGGGCCTAGTTGAACAAAAAGCACCATTCATCTCAGACATTGCTCGATTGTATTCAGTTTCATCTCCAAACCTAACAAACCCATATCCTTTTGTGCGCCCAGTGGCCCTATCAGTCACAACCTTCGCACCCTTCACAGATTGGAAGTGTACCCTGAAAGTCTCTTGAAGCATGTAATCTGTAACATCAGCAGCCAAGTCTCCAACAAAGATAGTAAACTCAGGGGACTCTTCTCGCTTTTCACCTGAACTAAAGGATGCCCAGTTCAACCTATAGTTGCTATCACCATTCGGCATGGGTGTACCATTGTATGTTTGTAAAACTCTCTCAGCAGCAGCTCGTGAAAGAAACTCAATAAACCCATAGCCCTCCACTTGACCCGTTTGCTTGTTGCGGATAACTTTCACAGAAGCAACCTGTGAGAGAACCGAGAGTTGAATATCTCACGCATACATCATACATAAATAAAGTTTAAACATACTTATAACATAAGAAGTTAAAAACTTGAGTAACAATGACAAATCTAAAATCTGAATGCTTGCTAGTCCTAGCGATGGACATTCAAATTGGCGTACAATACCCAAAACAAAAAACCTTTTAAAAAAATTAAATCCAAAAACAAAATTGTATCTTCGTGCATATAGATTTTCACCAAAGAAATTATATATCAATCAACACAAAACTCAAAAACCAATCTGAAAAATTAACACAAAACCAAAAATCAAAGATTGAATACCTCTCAGGAAAAAACAATAGATAATAATGAGTAAAAGACGTTGAATACCTCCCCAGTTTGGGCAAAACAGCTCAAGAGATAATTCTCATCCATATAGTACTGCAAATCTCCGATCCACAAAGTCCGAACCTCATCTGCGCTAGCCGGTTGACCAGATTGACCCGATGCCGGTTGCTGAGCCGGCACCCCAGCCGAACCCTGATGTGGGGGCCACATCGGAGGAGGATGACTCTGATGCGGCATCATGTACATGTAAGGTTGCTGCGACTGAGGAGCCGGCGGAGGTTGCTGGTATTGGTACTGTTGCTGGGCCGGTGGAGCTCCCGCCATAGACGGTGGCGGGGCCATTGGAGGTGGTACCATACCCGGTTGCTGCATCATCTTCAGTTTGGGTATTGAGAGAGGGACTCGAAGGGAACAAAACCCTAACCCTAGATAAGGTAAGGTTTGGGAGATGTGAAAGAGAGGAAGCAATCGTAGGGAAAGGAAAAGCTTTTAAAGGCGTGGAAAGCTTACGTTTCATAAAATGACTGAAATAGTTTGGTTCTTAGATGTTTGAAAGTGAAAAAAGCTAGGGATATTTCGGTAATTTCCTCAAATTAAAATAGAGTAAATTTGGGTTCAAATTCATGTATACTGAAAGGTTATATTGCAATTTTGGTCCCTCGACTATGTTCAAATTCAATATTTAATTCTCATATTTAATTTAGCATAACTTTACTCCTTTACTTTCACAATATTATTAGTCAATAAAAAAATAGTCTCCCCACTGGAGCAACGCTTCCTAAAGCAGATTCGCTACACTCTGGAGCAAGAGGGACCGTCTTCGTCGACAATCTTAGCAGGAGAGTTTCAAGAGGAGTCCTCAGGGAGCTCTTCAATCACCATGGTAAGGTCACCAAGGTCTTCATGCCCCTCATCAACTGAAGACCAAGATACAAAAGAGGCCACCTTCTCTTTAGTTCACTTTGAGAGTCAGAGAGACATGTTGAATGCCATTGAGAAAGTGAACGACACCATGATTGATTGGAAAAGAGTGTCAGTGGGGGTGGCAAAATACGCGAAGAAGCAAGAAAGAGTTGCTAGGGCTGGGAAAGAAGTTGAAAGACCGGATAGGCGGGAACTACCTTTCAACAGAAGTTTCCAAGCTAGGCCTGAGTTATTCAACAGTTTCTGTGACGGAAGATCATACAAGGATGCACTAGCGAACCGAGAAGGCGATAGAAAAGTAGAAAAGCCGATAAACGTCTTCATACTAGCAAAGGAAAAGGAGTGGTTGAAGCTTTCTCTAACTGGGGTATGAAATCCGATTATGAGATCAACTTTGTACAGCAAGGTCTTCACAATGACGGAATAGACGTTAAAATAACAAGATGGGGTTATGCGTGGAATGTTGTCATCGTTACCTTTCAGTCAGAAGAAGAACTAAGAGAAGCATGGTTAAATAAAAAGATGGAATTGTTTTATTGATTTGAGTGGTTAGACCATCTAGTAATGGAAATAGGACTTCCGATGACTTTCTACTCCGTCGACCTAATTGGAGTGCCTTTAAGCTGCTGACATGAATCTCTGTTTTCTAGTTTGGCAAGTCGTTGGGGTCTGCTGGTGTGCATCAGAGAGAAATCAATAAAGAAAGAGGATCTAACGACAGCTAAGTTGATGATGAGAGTTATAAGTCCTTTTGACATTCCAAAGTCAGTTTCTATTCTCTCGGAAGGTAGGACTTACAAGATCGGAATCAAAATTGGTCCAACTGTATCAAAACCAGAGGATAGTGAGTTACAGAATTTCGAAGATGATCCAAAAGGAATTTTGAAGCACGACTCATCAGAGGAGAAGGCACATGGTGGTCGGAACTCACAGGCGGTAGTGGACACCCAATTTTCTCAATCTGAATCCCAAAATAGAGTAGCCAAATGGCTTAATGATAATAAGACAGGTGGCAACCATGGTAGGATGGATGGCACTGTCTCGAGGAACCCATCATTGAGATTGGAATCGGTGAAGAAGACTGTAATGAGAATCAAAATTACAACACCATCACACACCTCAGGAAGAGTGGATGTGATGATGGACAAAAGTGTGAAATTGAGATATCTCTTCGGCAGGAGAAGGAAATATTAATGTTGGGCTAGTTGGACCAACTGCCCAGGAACAGACTGCAGTGTTTAAGGATTTGGGCCAATATCATAATCAGATGGGTATTGGGCCAATTAATCTTGGGTCCACACATCCAAAAAAAGGCCGATTATTAATCCCAACTCTGATGAACCTAGGATTTCTACAGAATGCCAGAATCAGAAACACTAAAACAACCATCAAAAACTGGTCAGGAAACAAAAACGCTGCATCAAAATCATACATCTGCTGGCTCACCTAATTCTTTGGCTGAACTTAGAAAGGAATTAATAGAGGTTGTGCAAACTGGAAGAAAAAAATATGGCATCAAAAATCTACATCCAAATGGATGAAAGGAGGAGACCAAAATTCTAGATACTTCCAAATACGTGCTTCAAATAGGAGAAGGGTAAGCTCTATAAATTCTTTTAGGGTTAAGGGCAATCTTATTCAAGAGCCTTCTATCATTAAGGATTGTGTTCGAGATCATTTTTTTGATATTTAAAACTCGATGTCAACCTTGGAAGTAGAAGACATGGATTTGAATTTTGCTACTCTATCCAACTAACGAAGCCTCTTACTGGAAAAGGAGTTCTCGAAAGAAGAAATATGGATTTGAATATGGGATTCTTTAAAAAAAAATTGGATCTATCTTAAAGAATACATTGTGAAATTCTTCAAGAATTTCTTTTCGGACAGAAGCTGGGAACATGGAGTCAACTACACCTTCATTACCCTTATCCCCAAGAAACCTAATCCTAACAACATAAATGACTATAGGCTCATCAGCCTGGTGGAGAAATATACAAGATACTCTCAAAGGTTATCTCAAGAAGGTTAAGGTTGTGTGTTAATGACATAATCAGCTCATCCCAATTTGTTTTCATCCCAGGACATCAAATTCTAGATTGCTCCTTCATTGTTAACGAAGGGATAGACTATTGGAGAAAGAAAGACCTTCAAGGAGTTGTGTTTAAAGTAAACTTTAGAAAGCCATATGATACAGTGGAGTGACCAATCTTGATTCAAGTTATGGAGAAAATGGGCTTTGAGGAGAGATGGTGAAAATGGATCAAGAGGTGTATATCTTCAGCCTCTATATCGGTTTTGGTAAATGGAGTCCCTACTGAGGAACTTTCAATGGCTAAGGAACTTAGACATGGATGTTCTCATTCCCCCACTACTCTTCAATCTGATAGGGGAACTTCTTAATCTTTTGTTGACTAAGGCGGTCTCTATTGGGTTGTTCAGTGGTTTCTCTATAGGAAGAACTGAGGGATCCTTTATGCTTTCACATCTACAATTTGGGAATGATTGTATAATTTTCTGCATAGCTTCGATTAGATAGATTAGAAATGTGAAGAAGGTTTTATGAGTGTTCGAAGTAATGTTTGGACTCTAATTGAATTTCTCTAAAAGCATATTATTTGGGATCAATAGAACCAAAGAAGAGGTTAAAGAATGGGCTTCGACCATTGGATGTGCAGTTTGTACTTTTTTTCAGATTACCTTGGCCTCCCTCTTGAAGCAAAAAAGAATTTAGCAACCTTGTGGGAACCAATCATTTAGAAATTCCACACTTAAACTTGTTGGGTGGAAAACAAAAACTCTTTCATTGGCTGGAAAACTTATATTACTTAAGTCAGTTTTTACTTTCTCCCAACTTATTATCTCTCGATTTTCAAGCTCCCCTCAAGTGTTAACAAGAATATAAATTCCATTATGACGACATTCTTATGGGGGATGAGCAAAGAAGGATAGGATTAATTGGATTAACTGGTCTACAATTAATCTTTTAAATAGTGTGCAAATCAAAAGATAATGGATGATTAGGTGTTGTGGATCTTAATCTTTTAAATAGAGCTTTATTAGGCAAATGGTCTTGAAAGTTTGCAAATAAGCAGGATTCTGAGTGAAGGAAACTAATGTGTAACAAATACAATCTAGACAGCAGAACCTTGTTATTCAACAATCAGATATATGCACATGCTTCTTGGATTTAAAGAGGTGTGGTAAACAATCACTTTAAGAACGATGACTTTGGCTCCAACTTCTACAATCATCTACAAGTTAAGTTGGGGACTAATGGGTTTATCCAGTTTTGACATGATACTTGGATTATGGAAGCGTCGCTTAAAAGTATTTTTCCTAGACTCTTCATCATCTCTGTCAACAAAAATGGAAGATTAGCTAATTCAGGAGAGTTTAGAATTGGGGATTGGAATTGGAATTTTGAAATGAGAAGGAACTTGAGTGATTGGGAGCTTGTTCAATGGGTTGAGCTAATGTCAATCATAAATAATACCAGTCTTGTGGGAAACTCGAGAGACTGTCTAATCTAGAGAGGGAGTGGGGATGTAATTTACTCAGTTAGATCTTGCATTGTCTTATGCTCGAACATGGAATAAGAATACTAATTTTGGAAATTACACTTTTGAAAGGGTTTGGTTTGTTAGCATAATGTATAAACATCATGCACGTGATGTTGCTCGTTAGTTGAGTAGTTAGCAGAGGTTGTTAGGCAGTCAGTTTAGGTTGTTAAAGTCAGTTAAGGAGTCTGTTAAGCATAAACTAGCATCTTGAAGTTGTATATAAACAACAACATCATTGTACATCACTCAGATTGATTGAGTATGAAATACAAAGTATAGTTTCTTCATTTCCATTGGATTCCTAACATGGTATCATTCGCCAAACGGTCCTGACTTCATTTGTTCTTTCGCTGCATGGAAGAGGATGAGAAAGTCGTCAACGCCGCCCGTCGAGCCGGCGCCGAGATTGAATCCGTCAAGAAATCGAATGCTGAAGTTTTGCAAAATGGTAGCACAAAGATCACGCACATTCTATCTGTTCTAAGCTCTGCATCAACATCGTTTTTCTCTGAATGGTGTAGTGGTTTCACAATCCCTACCAAGGAAATTAAAAAGGTATACGTAGGTGGGTTCATGATGCTGCAGCTACCGGGGATCATTCACATGATGATTCTAAGAGTTCTTTGGCACCCCAGAAGCTGTTGTACTTGTTGGAATATGCAGGGAATGATTTGAAAATGGTGAGAATGGCAGTGCCAATTAGAGATATGGAGAGCGAGAATTTGTTGGATTACCTAGACCCAGGTCTTGGTTTCATTGGTCAAAGCAAAAAAGAGGGATCTATTTTGGTGCATTATTTTGTTGGAGTGTCAAGAAGTGCGACTATAATATGGCATATTTGATGAGAACCCAACAACTATCTCAAGAAGGTGCCCTTGAATCTCTAAAGCTAAGTTGCGAGTTTGTGTGCCCTAACGATGGGTTTTTAGAGCAGTTAAAAATGTTTGAAGAAATGGGTACACTGGAGACCAATGATGTTGTTTCTGCATAGTAGTATAATTCTTTTGTGTGTTTAAACAGAAGTTTAATTTTGTATTCATTTTGTTGCTTATATCTCAAAGTGTCATGGGACTTGAAAGCTTCACAGCCAAGAGTCCATAAAAAAATATCAAGGAACCTTGTAAAAGAGGGTGAAGACGAAAGAAATGAAGGTGAATAAGAAGAACGAAAGGAAGCATCAGCACTTTCAATTCAAAATGGACAGAAGGAAGCATCGGCAATTTCGATTCAAGTGAACGGAAGGAAGCGTCCGCACTTTCGATTCAATTGTTCAGGGCTAAGATGTAGAAGAGAAGAAGAAGAAGTAGAGGGAATGTTAACATGATGTATAAACATCATGCACGTGTTGTTGCTCGTACTAGTATAGCGTACATGATATGTTAGTTGAGTAGTTAGCAGAGGTTGTTAGTCAGTCAGTTTAGGTTGTTAAAGTCAGTTTAGGAGTCTGTTAAGCATAAGCTAGCATCTTGAAGTTGTATATAAACAACAACATCATTGTACATCACTCAGATTGATTGAGTATGAAATACAAAGTATAGTTTCTTCATTTACATTGGATTCCTAACAGGTTCCACCAAGGGTGGAGTCTTTTATATGGTAAGTGATACATAAAAAATTGGTTGTTAAAGTAGATCTCATAATAAGAGGAGTTCAAGGAATTTCAGACCCCCTATGCCCTATGTGCAAATTAGAAATAAAATCCTCCTCACATCTATTCTTTTCTTGTAGAGTTGCTTGGTGGCTATGTAGCAATTTATTGCAATTTTGGAAAATTTATGTTATTCTACACAAAAATGCCTTAAAACTTCCTCTCTGCATGGGAGGAATTGGTGCCACAATCAACCATTTATAGGTTCATTCCAGGGGCGGTTCTATGGACAATATGGAAATGCAAGAATGCTATTGTTTTTGAAAAAGAAAGTTAGACTTATTTAACTATTTTGCACAGCAAAATTCAAATTAGCAACATGGTTCCTAGCCAAATTTCCTAGTTCTCCAACTTTGATGGACTCCATCATTAATGATCTCTCTATAAGGGACCCATTCCCAACTCAAATCCACAACCAACGTCATCTATACCCTGGTGGCTTCTTTAAAATGAATGTGGATGCATCAGTAAAGTTTGATTGGAAAGCTAGTAGTGTTGGTGGGATTCTTCGAGATAACTCTAGCACAATACCTGGGACCTTCTCAGAACCTGCTGGTCATGGCCCCCTAGCCTTTATAGAGCTGTTAGCCATTAGAACATGTCTAAGTTATTTTGAAGAATCGAGATGGAGCTCTAAGGGGCGTTAGATTATTAAAAGCGACAGTAAGAATTGTGTGGAGTGGATAAAGAATTTAGATGTATGTCCGAGTATTTAAGCTGCAGTCTCTAAGGAAATTGCTGATAGAATTAGAAGCTTCCAAGGTATTATCCGTTGGATAGCCAGGCCAACAAACTTAGAAGCAGACGCTTTAGCTAAGGCAGAAAATGATTAAATGAGAGACTTTTTATGGGTTACGAGTGTGTCTATTGCAAGGGATAAAGTATTGTGGTTGGGTTACACAATATGGTATTAAGTATTGTGTATTATTCCTTTATATTACAATAAAATATGAGGCACTCTTTTCCCCTTCTACTTTTTACTGAAATACACTTTTGCACTCTAATAATTATCAAGGAGATTTTTAATAAGGCCTCTAATCTAATTCCTATAAAAAAAAATTATTAGTCAATCCTACTAATATACATTTTCTTAAAACACTTATTTTGAATCAAATTGCACCGAATTATTAATCATTCCAAATATTAATATAATTGACTATTCAATAAAAATATTGACGTAATGTTTATTATTGAAGAACCTCTTTCAACTCATCATATTAACATGTATCTTTTTATATTAGAAGTTTTTCTAAGAAAATCTACTATAACAATTTTGATTGGAATAGTTAAACTGTTCAAATTAACTAAAAACAATATAAAATAAAATGTTCAAGTGTGCTAAAAGCACTCAAACTTAAAAAATCATTACGTTTATGAAATTTGTAAGTATGTAATTAAATTTTTATATTTTAAAAATGTATCAATCCATTCCTATAAGGGTAAATTACACCATTTTCACTGAATTTTACTTTATCTCATATTTTACTCACTGTATTTTCAATTTTTTCTATTTTGTCCTAACGGCTATTGCTCTGTTGGTGGTTTTAGCTTGAGATACCCTGTTGTACTAGTGGGTTGCTGGTTATCCTTTAATTTGTGTCTATTTTGTATAAATGTTGTAAATCGTCAAATTGGCGGTTAAATTGAGTACAAAGGAACACAATTACATTGAAATGCTAAAGAGTGCTTTATGTTTTAATGGACTCTAACAGAGTCCTTAGGCTCCATTTCGATCAGCATCCCGTTACTGAAAACTGGAAACGGCATTCTTGAGAAGGGATTGTCCGAGTAATAGAGCTTCCCCCTAAACCGAGTCACCAGGTAATGAATTGTGACCAACGATTCGATTCTTGAGAACTCGGTCCCGGGACAAATCCATGTTGTAACACTCATAACCCGTATACGCAAACCAATACGAGTTACATATATCATATCAGAAATTCAAAACATTTATTTAATTAAACTAAGTAAAATTTTGTTTCATTCAAATATCTCAAATTTCATAACTTGAACAATTATTATAAAATAATTATTCAGAGAAAAATCATAATATTTATTCATATTATTAATTATATTTAATACTAATTATATTAAGAAATTATATAAATTTCATTCTCGTATGCATGCCAGCTAAGACTTTTAGAACACAGTAGGATGTCATCATTGTTACTTGTAAATATTTCCTTGGTGATTGATGCCAAACTCAGTTCCTTACTCTTGTCTTCTCTTTTTCCTATGTGTGAAAATCATCACAAACTAAGTATACAGTTAGTGAGACAATCATATGAATATTTAAAGCAACGCAAAAAAATAAATTTAAATGAATAACTGATCACTTTACATGTATTTCAACCATGTTATCATATATTAATATGATATAACTGAATATCAAGTTTCTTATCAATATATTTGTCATTCATCCCATAATAAGTTATTTATATGTTTATCATTTATTAATCAATAAACCATAACTCAATTTAAACCGGATCCTGAGTATTCAAGTCAAATATATATATCGTAGTGCAAAAATAGTCTATGCTTACGATCTAATGCTAATCCGGATATGATACGTGCTCCTCCTCCGAAAGCCGCGAAGCAATACGGCGGGATCGGTCCTTGTTTCTCAAAACGTAATGGATCGAACTTCGATGGGTCTGGGAAAAGTCGCTCGTCCATGTGTGTCATGTTTGTAGCCCAAATCACCTAAAATTTTCATGCATATATGATTAGAGATATTTCACATATGCATCAAAGATCAGCTTGGTTAAAGATAGGTCAAATTCTACCTTTAGTTCGGTACTGGAATTTCAAATTTTGAAAAGTATAGGGATTAAAATTTACTAAATTAGAATATAGGGAGATAGGCTAAATAAATAATTTTTGCATAATACAAGGACAATAGCCAGATTTTATCTTAAAGATATAGTTCATACTTGCCGTCCTTTTGGGGTAGTGTATCCTTCATATTCAAACTCTTTGAGGACTTTCCTGAAAGAACCTAACAGTGGAGGGTTCATTCTTAAAGTCTCCATGGCCACACTCCATGTGTATTTCATCTTGGCAAGGTCATCCCAAGTTAAAAGGTCCTCCAAAGTCTTGGTCTTGGCTATCTCTTCATGTTCTATATTTTCAAAGCTTAGACCGTAAGTTATTCCGGAAGTCAATAAGTTCCGAAAACAGAATGGTCGGCTTACCTTGCACGATTTTCTCATAGATGGACCGATCCGTACCCAAAAGCTTGACCAAGAAGGTAATGAGAACGGAGGATGTGTCGTGCCCTGTTATCATTACACCTATTACGTTGTCCACGATTTCTTCATCAGACATACGAATTGAAGGGTCCTTTCCCATACCAAGTAAGCAATTGATGAGATCCTTGTTAGGATTGACCATCCGTTGCTCCAATACGGCCCTCCTTTCATTTATAAGATCCTTGATCAATGTTCGAATCTTTGCACTTGCTTTCAGGCTGCGGTTCAACTGTGTGAAGGGGAGATTTATTGGTAGCGACGACAGCGCGTTCATCATACGCAGAATAAGTTTGACGAGATCGTTTCTTCTTTCCTCTTGTTCTATGCCGAAAAGGAGAGAGCTCATGATGTTGAATGTGAGAGTCTTCATCACTGGCATTACCTGTGTAGATGATCAAACAGAATCAAAATTGTGAAGGACTAATTGCACCTAAAATCTCAAACTACTTGTCATTATCAATAACGTATCAATCAAGTCCTTTCAATTTACATGTCGATTTAGGTGTTAAATGTTGTATTCTAGCAGCATAGACGGCTTACCGTGACCTTTTGAGCCCCATGCCAAAGCATCTCCAAATGATTTCTCAATTCTTCATCTATCTTCCCAAAATATTGATTTAACATTTCAGGCTTCAAAAACGAAACAACGGCTCCCCTCACACTCTTGTGATCGTCGCCGGTCAGCTCTGTCAAATTTCTCTCCCCACAGATCTTTCTAAACGGAGCTGGTTGCTGGTTTCCAAGTATGTTAGATCACAAGTGAAGATGAATTTGTTAGCGCTCTGCCCATGTATGAAGACCGTCCGGGTACCAAGGAGGCTGAGTTTCGAAACCGGACCGTACTTCCTGGATTGTTCTTGAAGCCATTGTTCGATATCGTTGGTCCGCATCGCGTGCATAAAGCTAAGGCTATGGCCTATGAAGGGAAACCCCAGGGAACCCGGTGGAAGGTTTTTGGAGTTTTTCCTCCTCATGGCAAGGTAAATAGAAGAAACAAGTAGAAAACACAAAAGTGAACCAGATTGAAAGGTCCATTGTTGAAGAGTGGTCTGAGGGGAGGGGTGGCTGATGGCAGTCCTATTTGCAGGAAAAATTACGGTATGTCGGAAACCGACAAGTAGCTCGGTCGGTTCACGTGGCGAGGTTTAAGACGGTGATGTTTTTTGTGATTCCTTCACTTGTTCTCGAGTGTTTTGCGTTGTCCGCTAGACCTACATGCTTTTATCCTCTGCATTTGGGAGCTTTTCCCACATGAACAAACAGTCAAGGACATTCTCTGAGTAAAGATCTTTGTTTAAATCGTCAAAATTAGAGGCTTCTTGCGAGTAGCATATTATAAAATGCCAATGAAACATTTGTTTTTATCATTTGACAGAAAAATACAAGATAATAATATTTCTAGAACAAACAGAAGAACTGGCTCTTGCAGGGGCTTGCTGGTTTGTTGTGCCTTGTGCTCAAAGCACACAAGCCACGAGGCCATGGTTTGAGGGCCAGTAGCCTCAGCTGAGAACAAATAGAAGAGAACAAGTGATAAATAGTAATGCCGACGACAAACTAAGCCTTTCCCACTGCATAAGGCTAACTATGCAGTGTTACTGTGTATTCACGAACATAATCGACCTATGTTGCTTCAACTCTCATTTTTATTCAACTATTTATTTCCGAAACATTGGTATGGGGATATGAACTCCAGGGATTCTTCAAAATATATGAAAAAAAACCAAGGATATATACTACACTTACACTCAAATTCAAATAACATAATGTTGCTGAGACGACAACCAAGTGAATATTTGAACAACAGTTGAGTGAATCAAATAAAAATGAATGGAAACTTGAAAATTGAAAAGAGTGAACTTTATAGTGAGTACTGTAGACTCATTGGTTTCGTCCCACCAGCTGGATACCATAGCTGGAACCTCCATGGGAGCTAAATTCAGTGGTATTTTTGTTATTCTAAATTTCTAACCGTATCTCTTATTTTCCCGACTTTACAAGGGAAAAGGTCAAAAGCCCCCAGAACCAAACAGAAAAAAAAACAGAACGAAGTTGCAAAAACAGCAAAGAAACAACTCAGAGAGATACAAAGTAAGGATTTTGTAATAACCAAACCAAAGGGGATGAAGATGAAACAATTAGATAGTTGAGTAATCAAATTGAAAATTTATAAAGTTAATTGACCAAAAAAGAAATATGATAAAATTTGAGTGATAAAAAGAGTATTTTTACCCTTTTTTCCTTTGCCCAGTTAAAAGGCTGCTCTTGCTGCTATTTTCAACTGCGAAGCCTTCAGCTTTACAAAAAAAATAAACTTTGATCGGAAAAAAATGGCCTTATTCTCCCGCATCCGTTCTCCGACCGCTGTAGCTTTTCGCCTCCGCTACTTTTCCACCCTCTCCAAAGAGGCATCCACCCCTCTAACCTCCCACCAAAAATCACGCGCCGCTCTCTCCCTCCTAAAATCCGAGCAAGACCCCGACCGCATCATCGAAATCTGCCGCGATGCCTCCCTCACGCCATCATCCAATCTCCACCGAATCGCTTTTTCCGTCGCCATCTCCAAACTCGCCGAAGGCAACCATTTCGAATCAATCCACCATTTCCTCAAGGAGCTCCGTTCCCGCCCCGACTTACAAAACGCGCGTTTCGCTTCCCATTCTTTAATCCTCTATGGTCAAGCCAAGATGCTAGACCGCGCCGTAACGGCCTTTGATGAATTTTACAACAAGGGGTTATGCCGTTCGACGAAATCATTGAACGCTTTGCTCGTGGCGGGGTTGATAGCTAAGGATTATGAAGAAGTGAAGAGGATATTTTCGGAATTTCCTCAAAGGTATGGGATCAATCCTAATATAGAAACTTATAATAATGCAATTAAAGCCTTTTGTCAATCTGGGTCTTCGAGTTCAGTCTATTCCATTTTGGTTGATATGAAAAACAAAGGAGTTAAACCGAATGCGACGACGTTTGGGACTTTGTTAACTGGGTTTTATGAGGAAGAGAAGTATGAAGACGTTGGGAAAGTGTTGAATTTGATGAAGGAATATGGGATTCCTGTTGGGGTTAGTACTTATAATATCAGGATTCAGAGCTTGTGTATGTTGAAGAAGTCTAATGAAGCTAAGGCTTTACTTCTCGGGATGATGTCGAAAGGGATAGACCCGAATTCGGTTACCTATAACCATTTGATTCATGGGTTCTGTAAGGAAGGGAATTTGGAGGAAGCCAAGTGCTTGTTTAATAGTATGGTGGACAGCAGTTTGGAGCCAGATAGTTATTGTTATTTTAATTTGGTGCATTTCTTATGTCAAGGTGGGGATTATGAGTCTGGTTTGAGGATTTGTAGGGAATGTATGGAGAAAAACTGGGTTCCGAAATTTTCGACTATGAAATTGCTTGTGAATGGACTTGTTAGCATATCTAAGGTTGAGGAGGCCAAGAAACTTATCCAGTATGTTAAGAAGAAGTTCTCGAAAAATTCAGATTTGTGGGATGAAATCGAGAAGGGTTTGTTGCGCTAGTAGAGAAGGTAACCATGGTGTCATAGGATGTTGTATAACATTAGTGATTATGAGGTCTAGCTGATTTTGTATGAAAATGGAAGCTAATTGGACGGTTATCCTTTAACATGATGGATCGTTTGCATTTTCAAGAAATACAGAGCTGATAATTACACATGAAGGAAAAAGGTTATATGTATATTCAACTAATATCATTAACAGATCTAGACAAGCTTTTGATGTGCATGTACTGTGATGGTAATCGGTTACTCCAGACATGAATCTGAGGGTTCTAATTTATCCTGGGAATCATGTGACTCAAAGTCTGCCATCAAGAGATATGTGCTGCAGCTGCAGCTGCATGAGTATTCACATTTCCCTTTCCATGCACTATGGTGAAGACTGCTTGGTTCTAGTGAGTACATCATGAGCATATCATTAATCATTTCCCCCCTGAAACGATCATTGTCATTTTGTTTGTTAATTAGTAAAAAATTCTGTTCTCTGAATACTAAATTGTTGCATTGCTCGGGTCACTTGTTATCAAGTTGATATTTATAATAGAATTAAAGCTGGTTTGGCTCTCTACTTACTGATAAAACTTTGCATTGATTTCAGCCTACTGAAGTTTTTCTTATTCTTTGTGTCATGCCTCATAAGTTTATCATATTCAAGTCTGCGTATTTGTGGAATTAGCTGGACACCATGTTCAAGAATTGAAAGTAGTAATCTCACATTCTCTTACTGTTAATTAAAATTGTGGTACATACTGGTACATAGCCTCGAAGGATGATAAATGATCCAATTCCTAGTGCTACATAGTTTTGTCTAATGTGGTCCCAAGTCCTAACCGAAAATTTTGCATGTGGAGTTTGTGCTTTGATTCCAGTGGGATCTACCATTAAGCGATGAGATTAGATATCTCATGTTTTATACAATCAGTCAAAAGTTTGCCATTAAGAGTTTTATACTAAATCGCATGTTTTGCCAATGCTGTATTCATCGAGTCATTGTCTCAGAGTGGCACTTAAAATTAAACCAAGTCCTTGTGATCAATCCTGGTATTTTTTCTTGTGTTGAGCTCCATACACATTGTAGAACCCACCGTTGTTGCAGCCGCTAGCCGGCTGTTGATATGCCGTTAAAATTAAGTTTTCTTGACATAATCTATTTGAGTGTGTGATTTACTGACCGGTAATCAGTCACTTTACCTTAAGTACGTGATACATGATCGAGTTTCCGGCATTCCAAACTCCAGTTGAAGGAGAGCCTGGACAACTAAAATTATCTGGAAAACTATGTTAACCTGCAAAAGTTTGGTCTTTTTCTGACAAGGAAGTAGTAACCATTTCGAAGATGCAGCATGCAGGGCTAGGAAATGCAAACTCTGTCATTGTCACGATCCCTCGACCGATAAGATACTACTGTTTTCCTAGACAGCCTCATACTGGCACTGTGAGCATTCTTTTCTCTTCGGATTTAGAGATTTATTATTAATCCCCCCGTTGATAAAGCAATTATCTGTGTTTATGAATTGACACGACAGAGACAAGACAATGTTCTTTGGGAAGTTATGTTTGAGGTTGATTTTCCTTGTCCTAGGATTCTTTTGCTAGAGTTGAGGGATAAATGATGATATGACGTACGATGAATTGCATAGGCCACGTTTGTCACGTTCAAGTTTTCCTTCCAACTTTAACCATGCAAAGTCAACGTAGGAAAAGAAACAGGTGTAATTCTAGTTTTAGTCCTTGTAGTTCAATTAAATAAAAAAATACTTATAAATCGGAATTAGTTCGGTTCAATTAATAAATAAGCATTTTAAAATTTGGTTTAATGATTATTCGGTACAATTATTAATTGAACCGGCCATTTGGATACTTACAAATAGATCTGAAATAGTATTTTTCTTCAAGTCACTTCAAACATTTTGGTTGAAATGTAAGTTTCATATTCAATTTATTTATTACAACTTAAGAAAGAAACAACTTTCTTTTTTAAATAAAGAAAAATAACTTAAATAGGCAATGTAATTTATTATTAAAGAGTCTCATATAAATAGAATTAAGATTAATTCAAAATATTTTTTAATTATTATTATTTAACTTTAAATTCAGTTTCAATTAGAATCAAACTATTCAAATTGGCATAGTTAAACTCTTTTATATGACCTATATATTTAAATTCAAGTTCAAGCTCGTTTCATATACATTATTAGGTCAGTTTTACTCAACTTGAATCTGAGTATAATACTCTTCCATATGTTATTCAATCCAATCCGATTTAGGAAAGTTTCACTCAATCCAATTGTTAAGATTAAAAAATGCAATCGCATCCGACCTGACACAAATATATATATATATATATATATATATATATATATATATATATATATATATATATATGATATTTATTAGGTAAAAAATATAAAGAAATGGGTATTATAACAATTATTCCTAAATATAAAAAAAGTCAATTTACTGTTATTCTCGGGTCTGACAGATCAAGTGTTTTTCACCATAAACTCATTGATCTCATCCTTCAAAAACTCCGACCTGACTCGGCCAAAATCTATTTTTTTTGAAAAAAATATCTATATGATTGGATAGTATCGGAACGGATCGAAACTCGTTAGGATAATGTTAAATGTCGATCCCTAATTCTAACATTATGACAATCTGAACTGAAAAAATTATTTCATAATTATCTAGGTAGTACATGATTCAAATTCACCCGGCAAGATGTATAAAAAATAATTATAGTTTATAGTAAACCGGTATACCATCTTCCTATTTATTGAATACACCTGGAATGGAAAAGTTGCTGGCAGTTTGCTTCAAATCTGTTTAAATGTAATTTAAGTGAACGCGTCAGCTCTTTCCGGTTCTACCAAACCTATTCAAAACAATATTTTTTTAACTCTTTTTAGTTTCTTCCAGTTACTCTATTCTCTATATATAGCAAACTGATAATACCGACCCCAAGATGATAAATGGAACATTACACCAACCTCTAGCCCTTGCTCTATATGAACACGCACCGTTCTTCACTTTGGTTTCATTGCCACCCTTTTTAATGTACGGTAATTCTGGCATTGGAGAGAAGAGTGGTAAAATGGGAAGGAGATGAGTTGTTTCTCTTGTTGTGGAGTGGAAGTGCAGCACCGTTCTGATTCCCTTAAGGAGACTGCTTTTGGCATCGGTGGCAATGAAAATAACAGCAATGAGAAATCATTGGGGTCTTTGGTCAATAATTTGTCAGCCAAAACATGTAATATTTGCTTAGTTTGTGAATGTAAATGGACAAACAAATGTTCCTATAATTAGTAATGTTGATAACAAAACATCACATAAATCAAGTATTGTTCCCCGGGGCGCCTCTTGAAACCGCTGGCATGAACCGAACTGCACTCTGCAACTACTTCAAGAGCACCCCGAGGATACATTGAGAACATTGATAAAGTATACATGCATGCATACATACATACACGCATGCATGCATACACCTATTTTTCAGTTCATAATTTTTGTATTTGTAATTTCTTATCTTAGATTGTGGCGGTGAAGCAGCTCGATAGGAACGGAAAGCAAGGAAGCAGAGAATTCTTCTCAGAGGTTCTAATGTTAAGTCTGGTTAACTATCCGAACCTTGTGAATCTGATCGGCTATTGTGCAGATGGGGATCAAAGGATTTTAGTTTATGAATACATGGCTAATGGATCTTTGGAATATCATCTTCTTGGTATGTTAAAATGACACTCTTTTCACTTCTTCAGTACTTATTTATAAGCCTACTAATGGAATTCTGTTGTGGACTATGATTATTGTGTCTGTTTATTTAGATGTATCTCCAGGTAAGGAGCCATTGGATTGGAATACCAGGATGAAAGTAGCTGAAGGAGCGCGAAAGGGCTAGAATACCTGCATGATTTTGCCGATCCGCCCATAATTTATCGCGACTTTAAAGCATCAAACATATTACTAGATGAGAACTTCAATCCCAAACTCTCTGATTTTGGACTTGCAAAGTTAGGCCCTACAGGAGGGAAGGACCATGTATCGACAAGGGTCATGGGGACCTATGACTATTGTGCTCCGGAGTATGTGATGGCAGGAAAGCTCACAACAAAATCCGATTTTTACAGTTTTGGCGTAGTTTTTCTGGAGCTCATCTCAGGGAGGAGAGCAATTGATATCGAAAGGCCAGAAGAAGAACAGAATCTGGTTGCTTGGGTATGTTCATCGAGTCCGAATCACTTGTTTACAGTACTAAGTCATAAATCTAAGTTTATCATAACATGTTGCAGGTAGAGCCATTACTTAAGGATAGGCAGAAGTTCAAGATGATAGCGGATCCACTGCTCCAAGAGAAATACCCTGTAAAGGCTCTTTATCAAGCTCTTGCAGTTGCAGCAATGTGTCTTCAGGAGGATGCTGATAGCCGGCCATTGATCGGTGATGCTGTAACTGCCGTTGAGTTTCTTGCCAAGCGAAAGGACAATGACAAAATTGCTGCAGAATCACAAAGAAACAATGACTTGCATGTTAAGTCCGTGAGAGAAGGAAGTTTCAAAAGAGACCGTGACTTGTAGCCACCATAGTTGGGGGCGAATGATCTTCAAGATCAATAAATTGCACAACTGAACCAACAAAAACCAGAACCTAATTTTTTTTGTAGATAATTGTGAGCTTTTTTAGCGTGCAATTGTTTAAGTAGCAATCGTCTGTTACTCAGATATGAAGTCAGTGTCGGATACAAATGTCTGTTTAAATATATATATAAATATATATATATATATATATATATATTTGTTAAGTTCTTAGTATATTTAGATGATCACATCGCTGTATACGTGTTCGAATACGTGTTAGAGATGAGTGTACAAGGAAAAGTAGAACTAAATTATTATATCTGACACTTGTATATCAGAACATATCTGTTCTATTGCCGATTCTTATATGCAACTTCCATAGCACAAGCAGAAAAATGTATAAATCTATGTATCTTTCCTGTAAAAATACGTATATATATATATATTGTTCATGTAATGAATGATGGGCAAAAAATGTTTACTTAGAAGCTCAAAAATCAAATGCTGCCTCTTATTTTTTGTAATTTTTCATGCACTTAAAATAATTCTTATTTTCCCTTGGAGATTTATTTTGACAAGCTAGTTGACATAGGGAAGATGGCATGAATATCTCAGCTTCCTATGGGAAGCAAGAGTTTTTGAGGGCAACACCCACTGTTGCACCTTCATGGAATACCGAGTCGTAAAATTTGCAGACAAACCTTGATAATTCCTCCTCTTCTTCTTCCCAAAAACAGGTACTGTGGTCCGCAGTCTTCAAGTCATGATCATCCCAGTCACTGGTTGGACTGAGGGGTTCTGGTTCAGTTTCGAAATCTGGCTCCTCATCTTCTAGATCTTCCCCACCGATCTCGAACCTTCCCTTTCCCGAAACGTTATACTCTCCGAATTCATTCATTAACACATCTTGGGGCTCAGCTGTAGGGCATACAA